AACCTCCAAGCTCCTCAAACCTATAGTGAACCCCAGAAAGTTGGAACAGAGACTTAAGATGAAAAATGCTGGGATTCCTTCTACTTTACTTTAAGGGCATGAGGCTAAGGATGTTCCAACTTTCTGGCTTCGACTGTAAGCGCCCAGAAGTTGAAAACCCCATAGCCTCAATCCTTAAGAGTAATGCATAGGGAATCCCAGGACTATTTGGCCTTAACCCGGTTTCCAACTTTATGTATGGAGTTTTTTAGGAACCATATAAAGGAACCCTATCTGTAAGCCCTAAACCCCGTCCTCAAACCATGCTGCAAGGCTTTCGCAGGTTTCGTTCCGCCGCACCTTCGTCTGCGCGACTTCTTCTTGGAGGTCACCGGAGATTTTGAAAGTTCCTTTTATGGTTCAGCTCAGTTCCAACAGCGGTTTCCTTCAGGATTTATGAGATTCTAGCCGGGTGTCGGACTTTTGTGCTTAGAATTTCGCAGGGTTTTGCAGGGTAGTAGGGTTGGTGAATTTTGCACTGGCTTCATGAGCTGTTTTGAAGGCTCCATAAGGCTTGGACTTGGATAACTAGGAAACTGGACTACAAGTTCTGTATACAGACTTAAACGGGGTCTATCAAGGGTTTGAGGAAGGTTTCACAAGGTTTGGTTATCTAGGAAGATGGGACTTAAGCTGGGGTCTACAAGGCTTTGGAGTTCCGGGCCCGGGCTTAGGGTTTACCGTTTGGATTCAGTTCAAGGTTTGAGCCACCCAAACTCTCGACCGTGCGGGCTACCCAACGAATCCCATGCACCCTACCTTAAACTACCAAACCCTACTTCGTTTGTAGGTTCTTCATATAAACCCTAAAATGGAGTTTATGAAGGGACCCTACAAAAAAAACAGAAGGCTTTGGTAGCTTAAGGTTAAGGTAAATCCTAAACCGTTATAACCGGCCCTGAGCCCGCACAAGCACAGCCAGCCCCACAGGTGTTTGGAAATCTACTGCTGCCGGCTATCGACACAAAACCGCAATAGCATGCAGATCCTAAAAGGTAACCCCAAAAAGGAACTACAATGGAGACTACAGTAGAAGCCCGGAAGTTGGAAATCCCAAGCCCCAAGCTCTAAACCAAAAGTTCAACACCCCAGCCCTGCACCCCTGCAACCAACACCGAAAACACTACAAAGGTCCTAAACCCTAACGTCCCAAACCCTCAGCCATAAGCCCTAAACCATGAACAACATCTGGCCTTCTTCCACACTCAAACCATAACCCTTAGAACAAGAGATGCCCGAAGTCGCCTTCAGCCCCTGGTAGGGTGCCAAAGCCAGCAACTGGCGGTAAGCGTCCCAGGCCTCCCCCATTGGGCGATTTTGGGCTTGGGAGGCCACTTAATATAGAGGCCTTAATACGGCTGATGATATACATCCTGCATTACCCATAATAAGGAATGTACCATAAGTCCCATAGCTTAGGGTCTTTAAGGTAATGCAGGATTTATATCATCAACCGTATTAGGGACTTTGCCTCCAATCGGGAACTCGAAATGAGGCTTTAAGTGGACTAGAAACAGGACTTCAGGAGTTCGGGGCCCGATTTGAGGTCTAGGGTTTAGGGTCTTGGGGCTTCAGGATAACGGGAATAAGGTCCCCTCTCAAACACCAACTTCGAACTCCCAAGCTGAGACAGCACGATAGACCCTGAGACTAGGCCCCAAATCCTGATCTCTAAACTCTAAACCTCAAGCCCTGCCCGGTAAGAAATAGAAATGAAATTAAAGGCAAGGTACCTTATTCTGCTCTAAGGGGGCTTTGGAATCTCTTTGTAATATAGATGCCAGGATATTTGTTGATACCCATATCAATTCCTTAGGCTCCTAAGTGTGAGTGTGTCTATATATATATATATATGAGTGTGTGAACTATGTATTACTCATACATGATGCACTTGATGTCACAGATGTAGGTATATACATATATATGTATGCATATTTACACTATGTTATACGATCACGTATCCCACAACCCTATTCGAATTATTCCGGCGCTTTTTGTCAAACAAAAAGGCCTCCTCCTTGCGGCCAAGCTGGTAGAAGACCTGATACATTGGAGAGTAGGTCTCAATCCAGGCTCTGATGCGGACTTGGGGATTAAGGGCTTCGGAAACCCTAAACCCTTAACCCTGGAGTTGAGGGGTGAAAGGCTTTCGGGTTTGTGGATTATAAGGTGCAGGACGTTGGGGCTTAGGGTGCTTATAGGGTGTAGACATGGGGTTGCAGGTCGTAGGCTCTACAGTTAACCCCATGAAGTTGGACACCGGATTAAGGCCAAATAGTGCTGGGATTCCCTGTACATTCCTCTTAAGGATTGAGGCCAGTGGGTTTCCAACTTTGGGGCTTCTACTGTAAGCCCTGATATTGATCCCTAAACCCTACTCCCTAAACCCTAATCCCTAAACCCTAATCCCTAGGGTCCTGCCTCTTCCAAGGATTTCAAAGTCTCGGTCAGGTCCTTCGCCTGGCCGGCTTTCGGGGCTTCGGGGCTTGCCGTCCCGAAACCCAAAGTCTAATGTAGGGGCCTCAATGGTTGGAATAGGGTTCCTTTAAGAGGTTGCTTTAAGGGATACTATAAGGGATTTAGAAGATTTTATGGTATAGCTCCAATGAGGAAGACCCAAACTAGTATTGGTGGCTAATTCGGGCCTACATTACACCCTCAGCCCTGAAACAATGCGAGAACCTGAAACAAGAAGCACTCCTGACCCAATGTGTTATCTAGGTATAGGAAACAAGATAAGCATTGAATACGAGTATGTGTATAAATTCAAGCATATATTAGACACGTAGGCACAGATGGCAAGAGCTAGATACAGATGTAGTTGTAGGCGTAGACACACATACATATATGTTTATATGTGTATGTCTGTCTGTATGTATGTATATATATATATATATATATATTAGACTCAATATATGTACATATGTGTAACATATATAACATATGTGTTATGCGTATGCATACGCACAACAAAAAACCTTATGCAACTAGTAGAAGCAGAACATTGAAACCGCACATGCGCAGATACACGCCACACTTTAGCACAACGTAAAAACCTGAAAATAAACCCTTAACTCTGTATACCCGAAACCCAAAAAAATTGAAAATTAACCTCAGAAATCTGAAAATAGACCCTCATTACCTTATAAAGAAGGGGAGTCTGCACCTCGCGGCTGCCAGAAAGCTGGAGATGCGACAGGGCCGTGTCGAGGCGAGACTGCCGCGCCTGAAAACATTGCGCTTTTTCTTTTTTTGGGGGGGCTTAGGGTTTAGACCCAAACCCCTGGAACCCTGAAGCACTAAGCTTTGAACCCTCTTGGCCTTCATTCTGGGGGTTTGTGGCTTCATGCCGTCGATGTGTTCCTGGCCTCTGGCTTCCAGAAGTCGCTGTCGTCTCTGCTGGCATCATTAGCCAAAGCCTGAGTCAGCGGTTTAGGGGTTCAGGGGTTCTAACGTAGAAGATTGTACAGACTGGGTTGTGGGCTGCGCTATACACTTTCACTTATCACACTCATTAGGGAGGCGGCTTACTCAGAGGCTCGTCTATTCGCTTGCTTGCTCGAGGCGAGTTTCAAGCGTTACAAGCACCAAAACATCTTCCGGTGGCAAACAACTTGGCCAAGCCCAAACAGACCGTAACCAGCATCACCTGCCTAGTGTGCGAGTGCTTCCTCAAGTGCGAGCCACAAAAAGGACAAGCGGAACGGAATGCGTATTCACCGTAGAAATGCAGGAATCTGGTGAGCTCCGAAAGCAAGGAACCATCAACCTGCGCCCCTAAGCCCTGGACCTGAAGCGAGGTGGGAATTCGGGGCCCTGAGTTTGGGCACCAGGCCAAAGCCGAAGAAACCGTCAACACCAAGTTGCCAAAAAATGTAGGCATAAGTAATAGACGCGGCTTTGCAGGCCGTATACTCTGTAAACATACCCAGAGGGTCCAAGTACTCCCTACTATAGGACTTTAGGACCTTTTTAGGTACCAAAGACCATAAATAGGGACTACTTGGACCCTTAGGGATGCAGAACTGTATACAGATACAGAAACATCCGCACATACATACATGCATGCATGCATACAAACATACAGACACACATCCATCAATGCATGCAAGCATAATTACAAACATGCACGCATACACGCATACATAAACACATACACATGCACATACCTATGCGTGCACCTTTACATACATTTACTATTTATATTTACATACACAAACCGGACTGAATACGATTTGACCAGCAGTGGCTAGGTATTGAGGCTCCCAAACCCCAAACCCCCAACCTTAAACCTTACACCTTGTATTAAACCCTAAACCTGAAATCCCCATACTGTAAACCTTAAACCCAAAGCCCTACGGCGAGTCCGGACAGGATGCCAAAGAGCTCCTGGCGAGGTTGAAGTGGGCGGCTGGAAACCTCGGATGCTGCAACAAAGAAGCGGTTTCGGATAGTGCTTAGGCTTTAAGGTGCCGGGTTGCGGGCTTAGGTTGGGCGCTGAAGGATTTCCGGCGCTTGTCGGGTTCAGCATTTAGGCTTGCGAATTGGCGGTTGAGGTTTTAGAGTTTGCGGCTTTGAGGTCCAGGTAATCCAGAATAAGAGACCCCGGGAACTTTGCAGACCTGAGTGACGAACCGGCCCTTTCACCAAAACAAGGCTTTCAAGCTTGTCCGAGACACAAACCTCCATACAAAGCTTGAGCTCTCTACAGGAGGCTTTGGGGATTGCAAGGCTGGTGCGGAAAAACGTGACCCACCTCTGGGCCTCTAGGTTGGCTGTGGGAAAAAAAGGGGTTTACGATACCTGCAATGTTGCATGTCGCGACACTTAACAAATGCCGCAACTTGACAGAACCCAGAACGGCCAGCAAACAGCGGTAACTTTTCTCTCTGGTTGCACCCTCGCTATATTTGTCGAATGAGATGCAGGGAATTGGTACACCTGATGTGGAAGACGTTCAGCTACCAGCGAATAGATGCCTTGAAGCAGCATCCCGCCTGCTCCAGCTGCCGGTGAAAGGTGCGCAGCGCTTCGCCGACCTCCGTGGCTTGGCCAGGGGCACGACGTAGATCCAGGTCGTTACCCAATGCCTTTCCCCGTGCCCCGACCGATGTGTAGCGAAGATGGCCGCAGCTTCGAAAGAAATCAATGCCAAGCGGGCTGTATAGCGCAAGCCACAGCTCATCAAATGCATTCGCCTCGCGCAATCCATCGGCTGCACATTTTATGTTGCTGAAGCAGCAACGCCATAATCCAGCCTTCATCCTCACTAGTCTGGCATGCTTCAGCTCCACTCGAACAGAGCCCCTGATCCAGTCAACAGGGAGACGTTCCCCTTGTCTGATGAATGTGCTAGTTGGATTGAGCTTCTGATCGATCTCGAAACCAACTTGTTCCAAAAAAATGCCCCGTGCAGATGGGCTCAAGTCACTGAGCGGGTCGCAACCATACAGACGACACGCACTGTCCTCCTCTTCCTTGCATACGGCAGACAACAAGCGTGGATCTGTCAACAAGATTTTTTCAACCTTCTCGCAGCTTCCCTTTGCCTCACACAGCTTGTGCGAAATGATGTTCCAGGCTGATCGCCAGTCAGATGTACCTGTGCTACCAATGACTTTGATGCTGTGCCCGCAGGCACTTGTTGCAGCACCGTGCCTGGTAAGTCCGGTTCGAAGGTCATGCTTCAGAATGTGAACAGAATCTGGAGTATCCACCACAAGATAAAGGTCGTCAAAGAGTGCATGGCTGCGACTGTCAGGTTCGGCAAATTTCACCGAAGCAAAGCGCACACACCAAGTGTTCAAGTGCGCTACCCAGGACAACCTGCAGCTCTTGCATTCGACCTTCCTGCCCCCAAGCGTCCAGTCCCAAGAGGCCTGTTGTGTTGATCTTCGCCTGCCGTTCACACAGGTTCCAGTTACTGGCTCCTCCAGCTGCAGATGCGGGTAAGTGCTGGTAAGCACGCGCTTGCACAGGCCTTGCAGGAGCATGCCTCGCTTGTACGGGCTCATCCCAGAGAGCGGATGTCCAGCATACAAGTCAGCCACCCTAGCCCCTTGCTTCGGAATGTGCTCGAACTCCGTCCACGGAAACACGACGTGATGCAGCTGCCGTCTGCTTGTGCAATTCAAGCGATGCGTTTCGCAAAACCCATACTTGAAGCTGAAAAACTGCTGGGCCGGTTCTGCGTAGGGCCTAGCGGCATATGGCCGCAGGCTGCGACATCCGTCGAATGCACATGCAAGCATTGCTTTCAGGTGTCAGGACTGCGGTTCCCGAGTTTGCAGCCGTCCTCATGTAGCACTCTTCGGCTCTCTATGTTCGAGCCTAGTGTTCATTGCCGGCACATCCTGCGCTTTTTGGGCTTTGGGGTCAAGAGACGGGAGACCGGGCTTAGCACAGAAGACCCTCCAAACTTGACTCTTCAAAAGCAAACAGGATTCATACAACAGGGGTCTACAAGAACGCCTGTTGAAGGTACGGTATAGCATCACTGTAGTCTGTAGTGGAAGACCCTCGGGAGTAACAGTACTCACCATTCATTGCTAAATGTGAAGCAATACTCTGCCCGCCAAAGGCTCCAAACCCTCCTAATGTGTGAAGCAAAGCCCACTTTAAACCCTAACAGCCGGGTCCTCAGACCCTTAAGGTATAGCCGTGAATCCAAGGTCGGCAGGTTTCTCCGTTCGCCTGGAGGCGTCTGATCTAAGAATGCATTGCAGACTGGCTATAACCTCTCCACAAACAGCAAGGTGTCTTCCTATCAAAACTTGTTGCACTCTCTGGGTGCACCGTTTGTTCAGGTGTTTCCCCCAAACCACATATGTGCCTTCAAAACCATCTGGGTTTGGGGTTCCCTTAGCCTTCTCCTGAGACTCACAAATCCGCGTAAGAGCATGAAAGACCGTGTACAAACCCGCATCTATACAGCCTAGTTGTAAGGAAAGGGTAACCCTAAAGTCTAGGCTGGCCCTTTAATTTAAAGCCTTTGGCACATGTTCGTACATAAGCTCCTTTTCAGCCCAAGAAAAGGAAACATGCAAAATATCCCAAAGCGCTACCCAAAAGTTCTAAGCAGCCGCGGGGCTCGCTCCGGATGGCCAGGGCACTCTCGTATGCTGCAAGCGCCTCTCTTTTCCGTGGAGGGGCTTTCGGGTTTAGGGGTTTAGGGCTTAGGGGTTTAGGGTTTAGGGGTTTAGGGCTTTAGGGTGGGCTTTAGGGTTTAGGGTTCAGGGGCTTAGGGGTTGAGGGTTCAGTGGGTAGACACTGAGATTTTAAGAAACTCCGTGCATATTAGGGCCTTGATACTCGGATCCTTAGTGTAATGCCCATAAAGGATGAGGGGGATTTGTAGAAATCAGGCATCTACATCAGCGATGAAGACTCCGCGTAATGAACTTGAAGAAGTCCAAAGCTGATCATTTGCAGCTCAAGGTTTTAAGGCGGTCAAAAGGGGATCTTGCTGAACAAAGCACGATACCATCAAGGTAGTAAGCCGTCCTTTAGTGGCCTCGCAAACGGCTGAGCGGTGAGGGTTTCGCGGTTTCAGTTGTGATAGTTTAACATCGTCTTTAAGCACCTCTACGGTTTAGGGTTTAGGGTTTCACCAAAAGCTCTTCCGGGCATCTAAACGTACTTGAAGTCCTAAACTCCCCATAAAACTCAAAGCCACATATCTTAAGTAAACTCCCCACCCTAGCCGGTTTCTCGCGTCTCGCACAGGGGGAACCGATGTGTCACGTATCGATCAGCCCTGCATTCTAATGGTCTGGGAGTTCTTGAAGGCGTTGGACTTGGGGGTCTAAGGGTTTAGGACAACCTGCGTCTTGCATTTGAGGCCTCGGAGTTGAGTCTCGCTGAGCTCACATTGCAATATATAGACCTCTCCTATGCGCACCCTGCCATAAACCTTGGCATATGCCTTGCACTTCAGAGCATTGGAAACTTCAAGCTCTACTTCCAGACTACGCAGACCGCTTAGGGTTTTAGGGCTTTGGGTGTAGGGCCTAATTTCCAAAATCCCTTGTAGAGCTTCGGCAAATACCTTCATCCTTCACGTTTCATCTTCGGGTCCAGCATGCAACGACCCGTGTCCCAGCCATAATTCTTCAATAACGTAGGTACTATGTCAAGTGATACATTAGCCACCTCATTAGCCAATAAAAAGATGCCACTACTGCCCCTGTGTTTCAAATTAAGGAACTCTGTAGACCCTGTCAGTTTGAAGCTCATAAGACCGCGCAATCAGCAAACAATGGTTCGACCTTAGCCATAACTGTCTTGGTTTGACAGTAAACCAAGACGCACCTCTCATGAACGTCGTTAGACGTCAGGTAAGTTGCCCACGTCTTTGACTCCATAATCCTTTCATCAACTGCAGTTGGGGGGGCACTTTTTTGGCCCCGTCCAAAAACTCATCATCTGTCTTCCTCAACCAAATGCAAAGTGTTCTGCGCTGTTCTGGGGCCAGAAGGCATTAATGCAGCCATGCTAGCTGTCGCTGGACGATGAGTTATGCCTGATATTTTGAGGCGAGACCCAGCATTCTGCTCCTCATGAGCTTCATCAGATGGACTTTGTCGAGTCCTTAAGCTTTCCCCACAAACTTCTCCGGCATCGGTGGCGGAAATAGTGGTTGCAATCAGGATTTTCTTCCCTGCTTCACCTTCGCTGTTTTGCTGAATCTTGCCAGGGTGATAAACTCCAGCCTTGAGGTTCATTCATGTGAGCAAAATCAGCCGAAGCCATCTCGCAGGATTTCTTAATGCGAGAGAGAACCTTCTGAGTCGCCCCTGTCATCGAAAGCCTGGTTTTACCAGCTCCAGTGGCTACACCCTGCGAATGCCTACCTCAAACCCGACAAACTCAAGGGTCTTAAAGGAACCATTGAGGGAACGGTAGGCCTCTCCCCGTTCAAGAGCAGCTCGCGTGTACTCAAAAGTGAGTGGAGCTGGAACATTGCACGGACCATAGCGGCATTACAATCAGGTTAGAACGTAACCCCAAACCCTTGCTGCGGCCTCAAACGCTACAAAAATCGCAAAGTCATGACCTCTCCATGATAGGATACATGTGGTGCCGCATGAAAACGCAAAACCCAAAGCCCTTATTCACCACAAACCTTAATCGCTCTGAATCCGAATAGAAACCTTCAGAGAATCCTTCTGGAACCCTTACACGATCCCTTAAAGAGAACCCCCACATCCTGAAAGGGTGGTCCCTTCGCCTCAAAGCAAATCGAGCACTGAATCCAAACCTCACGGTGGCCTCATGATGCAGGCTCTGAGCACTCAGAGCTGTTCCAAGGTTGTAGTGCAACCTCGGGTAGAAGGCGTTATCTTTACTCTACCATAGCCAATAGATTTGGTAGGGTCTGTGGATTCTGCATTCTGGGCTCTATACTTGGCCCACATAAATTCAGATCTATTATGTTTATGTAGAAAGCTCTAAACCCCAACCCTCATCGTGCGTTTATGGAAGTTTAAGGTCTTAGAATATGATGTCAGGCTGGTGTTACCAGGCAGAACACGACACCCTCCACGACAAAAAATACTACTCGAACCGCTTCTTACATCACAAGACCATGCCGTGCACCGCCCCGTTCACAGTTGAATAAACAGGAAATCCACTGGGTCCACAAAACGAAATACCTCCGTCGCGGATTTAGGGTTCCATCAAACAGTCTGTGTACGGAGTGTGCACGAATGCTAGCTCTAAGTCGACATGTCGTAAAGAAAGAACAGCTGTGCGAGCTAGTTGCAACGTCCACTACAGTATATAAAGACGAGGATCCTAGAGGAAAGGGAGAAGTATTGAGGCAAAAACACTGTATATGTCTGAGGCTCCCAGGATACATCCGAGTCGCACCCAAAAAATCTATGACCCAAACCCCCACACCGAGAAGCCGAAAGATCTACCTGAAACTACAATGACCTATGTTCATAAGGACTAGTGAAAACCGCATGACATAAACACTCAATGTCTATGGAGGTTTGAGGCAGATCCCGGAGGGGCCCAATCCGATCAACTCTTGCGAGTTGCAAGACATCTCAATCAGAAACGTTGTCAAACGCGAACTCCCACAAGTTTATACTCGATGCTTTAGAAAGGTGTACAACACAGCGCTCAATTGAAAACCCCGCAGTATGCAACCAAAAAGCGACCGCAAACCGCAAAAGCCTCAGAGCAATTAAGCTGCCTATATCCTCAACCCGAAAACCCTAAAACCCTAAACAAAGGCTCACAGCCCTTCCCGAAACCCTACCTTAACCTACTTTTTTGTAGGGTCCCTATAAATTCAATAGTAGGGTTTATATTAAGAGCTTACAACAAAAACTAGGGTTTGGTAGTTTAAGGTATAGACCCTCGACCGATTCCCAGCTTGGGACGCCGGCCAAGTAGCTCGGCGCGATCCGGCGCAAGGGACACGGCTTCTCGCAAAGCTTCGGTGGCCTCCTCCGGCTCATGGCGCTTAGGGGCGTTGGGGTTTAGGACTTAGGGGTTCAGGGGCTTCGGGTTTTGGGGCTTTTGGGCTGAGGGGCACTGGGGTTTAGGGGGTTATGTCTTCTGAAACCGTTTGGGGCTCTGAACATTTGGGCTTCGGTGCTTCAGGGCTTTGGGGTAAACGGTTTAAGGCTCAAGGATCATAGTAGAAGCCAGAGAGTTGGAACATGGCTTTAGGAGGATTAGTGACTAGTGCTAGGATCCCTTATACTTTACCTTAAGGGCATGACGATAATGATATTCCAACTTTAAGACTCCCGAGGCTTCGTATGAATGATCGTCTACTTGCAGGATCATGGTTCAGGCGTTCCATACTTGAGAGTTTCCGAAAATAGGGGGACCCTTGAGGACCCCAAATAAGGTACACCTAATTTTCGGAAACTCCCACTTCTACGGTTTGAGTAGGGTTCCATTCGGCTTTTTGAAGAGTTTTATGTTTCTAAGCAGTAGGGGCGCCGTGTTCAGCGGTCTGTAAACCCTGGATCCTGCTATTGGGAGGCTCGAGGCTCTCTCTCTCTCTCTCTCTCTCTCTCTCTCTCTCTCTCTCTCTCTCTCTCTCTCTCTCTCTCTCTCTCTCTATATATATACATACCTAGGTACATCTATATATATATATATATATACGTACATATATATATATATATATACTGTGGCATCAGCACGATAGGATGGTGTGCACAGTGGACTTCTGGGGAGCCTCCGGGATCCTCAGGGAAGCTCTTGGAATGTAGGGCTTTTGCACGGT